AAGTTTGAAAAAGACACCAGATGTGATGCATGTCAAAAGAGGAAGCAAGTTCGGGCTTCGTTCAAGTCTAAGAACATTGATTCAACGTCTAGATCGCTTCAACTTTTGCACATGGATCTCTTTGGTCCTTCTAGAACCAAAAGTTTCGGTGGCAATTACTTTGCGTTTGTGATTGTTGATGACTACTCTAGGTGTAACACCCTAATCCGTCCAGGTCTACAACCCCTTTCGGACTAAAGTATTAACTTGGTCATCATAAAATTTAAAACTTTTCAAACACTCTTATTTAGCACAATAATAATTTTCATAATATAAACAGTACGGAGTATTTAACAATATTGCGGAAGCGAATTTAAATGTCGTCATATCACATTAAATTAATTGAAGACTTGTCACATCCATCCCAACCATCTCGCCTCATCTTCCGCGAGGATCATATCACATCATTCATTCTATTAACTTGCGTGTAGCAAATAAAACACACTACACGCTCAGCGGTAAAGCTGAGTAAGCATATCTAATGCATCGAACATCCATATAAATTGAATCTCAATTCATAATCAAATCATTTGATATCATGCACATAATACTCAGTTCAGGTATTCAATATTCAATATTCATCATTCAATATTCATTATTCATTATTCAACATTCAACATACATATTCAACATTTAACCTTCATATTCAATATTCAACAATATCCTTAAACTATTCTTAGTCTAAGGCCAATCTCTTTAATGTTTACCAACTCTTAAACGAATTCTAGTTTAAGGTTCTTAAACTATATTCTAGTTTAAGGTACTCCTAACTAACCCTTAAGCTAGGCCTAGTTTAAGATACAAATTTTCAAAAGAGGTTTTCAAAATCTTAAACTTACCTTCGCTTAAGGTCATCCAGAAACCAACAACGTGATGTTCACTGTTGGGTTGGGTGGTACCCCCAAATGAGTAGGTACTCAAGTTTGATTCTTGGATCCCGTACGTACGTTTTAACCCTGGCGACCGGGCATATCTTAGAGTTCTTCTAGACACCCTTCAAAATCAACATCACTATGGGTATATCGTAGAGTTATTCTAGATACCCTTCAAGTGAACATTAATATGGGTATATCTTAGAGTTATTCTAGATACCCTTAACAATACATATTATTTTCATAATCATCAATATATTCATTTTTAATCATGATTCAATCATTCACAATAATCAAATAATCATTCATCATAATCATCAATCAATATAACATCCAAAGCAATAGCAAATAGCGGTCTAGCTTCGAGTGTTAACACCTTAGCTTAACGTCATGCATCACACATGTTTATTTTTCCAAAACATCATTTTTATTATGAAACATCATCCTTATAATGATCATAATAAGTTGGTATCAAAAATATGATTTTAGAGCTCAAAAATAACATTTTCAGAAACATCTTCGGAACAAAATTTTGGGGGATCGATCCAGTAGTCTGGATCGATCCAAACTATAAAAAATACCCCAGGGGATCAATCCAATGGGGTGGATCGATCCACCCTGTTGATTTTCAACCATTGTTCATCTTCTTCAACCTTCGGTCCATTTTTCGGAAAAACCATTTTTAGTCATCTAACGTCAATTAAACTATATAGAGATGTTCTCCAAGGTTAATAGATCAGTTTGGTATCATTAATTCATAGTTTTAAGTTTTTAACAACAATTTCATGGTTTATGATTCTTGGTTCTTCAAGCATGTCAAACACAAAACTCAACCGAACGCCTGTTTATGAACGTAGAAACGATCTATATGAACATTCTTGTCACTAGATATATCTACGGGCTTACCTCGAAGTTCATCGAAGGTTTTTAGAATTTTCTGGCGAAACATCCAGCGAGGTTTGTGACTCTAGCTCTGCTGACTTCACAACAAATTGACAGCACCATTGCACTCTCCACACTCAGAAGAACATACTAAAAGGAAGAATTTCATGAGTTGGTGATGAAATGAGAGATTAACACTCCCTCCTTATATAGGAAAATGAAGAAGAAGAAGACATGTATGCTGAGTTGCTGCTGCATAGGATTCCTAATTCCGTGATCGTTTTGCTGCAGCCCCGAATAATCGATTGTCTCTTTGGGATAATCGATTGTCAGGTTGGCCTCGTTCAGAACCCAAAGTTCAGCAGGGGCTGATAGTCGATTATCACTTCTGTGATAATCGATTATCAAGCTTTGCTGCCTAACCGGAAAGTTCAGCGTGGCTAGATAATCGATTGTCTTGTCCTGGTAATCGATTATCAGAGCACTTGGGTTCTTATTTTGTTTTTCTAATTGTAACCAATACGTTGGAAATTGAAATAAACATTTTTGGATTTTACGTGTAGTCGTTTATGAGATCAGCGGGTTTCAAGGTGGATGTATTAACGAGTTTCAAGACCGAAAATCTTAATAACGAGAAAGCCATGATAATGCGGATTCACGTAGGCTTAGCTGGGTAGTCATATGAATATAAAGATATGAAATCTAATACGGATTCTAAATTTAGTGGGCAACGTACTAACCACTAAATGAATGGGGTTGACGGACGGAAATGAGATGAACAAACGTACGACAAACGAACGGCTTCATGCGTAAACCTTCTTCTCTTCTTCCTTCTTCCTTACCTACTCGCCGGAATTGACTCATTTGGCTGCTACTTGGCCGGAAACAAGAGAAGGGGAGAGGGGGAGATGAGTGTGTGGAGTATTTGGGGGGTTACAAATGTGCTGAAGGAAAATGAAGGGAGAGAGGGTTTAAATTAAGGGAAATGAATGGGAAATTAAATTCGAGAAATGAATCGGGGAGTGGGGTGGGGTGTGGTTTAATTTGGGGAGTTACCTCCCTAAATTCCACTCTGATGTATAAATTCAGACCTGTACGGTACATGTTTTTTCCCCCAAACTAGTCCAAATCGAGATCCATTTGCCTTTCTGGAATCAGATAGTCAAGACGAATATTATGGTGCTTAACAAACCCTTACAACTTGAGAATTCGAGTTACACGAACCTCAACAAGTCCTTCGAAGGAGACAGCCCTTCCTTCCAATAAAACAAGAGAAATACTCTCTCTCAACGTGTCTTAGAACACTAATACACTCAAGAACAAGACTCTCTTTAAGAGTAGATGTTGAGTAAAATATATACGCTCAAGAACAACTCAAACTTCACACAATTTGGCTCTAGAAAGCTATGGAAAAAAGATGTTATATGAATGCAATGATAATGTGTGTAATGTGAAGTTAATTGATATGTAATGCAGACCTTAACACCCCTTTTAATAGTTCCAAAATAGGCTCCAACGGATCAAAACATTTAAGGGGTGATTAGCATGATTTGTGGGATTGATATCAAAATGTGGATCTGCAGGAAATCAGCCTACGTAACAATGTGTGGATCTACCCATCGCTGGTAAACCACTTTTTCTTCAGTTTTAAAGACAACGGTCACCTACCCATCGATGGGTAAGCACTTCCCATCGCTGGGTGGGAGGTTGACTTTCAAACAAGGAAAGAATCAGGCTTAAATGCCTTCCAACAGTCATGCCTAACCAGGGATGGGTATACCCTCCCATCACTGGGTGACCAGCGATGTGTACAAGACCCCATCGCTGGGTAGGGGCATTCTGCCTTGTGTTAATGTTGAACCAAGGCTTGTACAGCAATGGGTGGAACTCCCCATCGCTGTGTGGCATGGTTTTGGAATCCAGCTGAGCTAAATGACCACTTACCCATCGATGGGTAACATCTCCCATCGTTGGGTTGATGGTTGGTCCAAAAACCTATGGTTTTTGCATGAACCATGGCCTAGCCGACCGATGCTGAAACCCGACCAATACTGAAACCCGACCGATAAAATGTGAAGTTCTCAAAAATAAAAACCAAGTGTTTAAAACACTTATTTCATGTATTGTGATGTCAAAACAAGCTTTGTAAGTTGAAAACCATGTCGTTAAGGTAAAAACCACGGTTGACCAAGTCAGAACAGTACATGGGTGATTTTTACCAAAAGACGAAAACTGAAAGGTGGTTTTCATGATGTTTTGATTGGAGAGCCATTTAAATGAGTTTCAAAACAATTCCCACACAAAAAGACTCGAAAACCACTTGGTTGGTTTGAATGCCGAAAACCAACACTGATAGCCGAAACTCGACCGACTGTCAATAGCCGACCGATTGTCAATAGCCAACCGACTGTTAATAGCCGACCGATTTGGTTTTCGGCGAACCCCAAGTGTTTTTAATATGTTTAAACATGTTTGAAAATCATTTTTATGATATGTGAAATGCAATAGAAGATGTTTTAGCCTAAAGAGCCAAAGTGCAAAGCTTGGGTCGGTCTTGTTCTCTTACTTTCTTCTCATCTTTATTTGTTGCCTTGTATATTCAACAACTTGTCACGTTCATGGCTGTTTGGCATTATCAAAACCTGTCATAAAAACGAACACGGCTTTAGTACGATAAAGTGATAAACCCATGTTTCAACAATTTCCCCCTTTTTGATAATGGTAAACAAGACACGGTTATGCATAGGAGGATTGTTTTGAGACTTCAAAATATTCCCCCTTAATAAATGCAATTTTATTTTCAACAAGGTTTATGTGTTGAACAAGAGTTATATTTTAAACACTCTTGCCTTAGAAAAGTTATGGGAAAAGTTCCCCATCAATCTATGCATAACCTTTATATCTTCCCCCTTTTGACATTAACAAAAAGAACTAAAAGTAAACTTTTATTCATTAAAAGGGAAATACGGAATACAACAGATAAGAATAAAAATACAATCATATTTAAAAAATGAAAAAATAAAGAAGAGGTCTAGGATTCGGCGTCCACCTCCTCGTCGTCATCCTCGACGTCCATGGGATCGCCGTCGACTGCATTTTCGAAATCTTCCTCGTCGGGGGAGGAGGACGGAGCATAGGAATCGTCGTCCTCTTCCCCACCTTCGTAGTTTTGGCCGAGGAAGGTACTGTCGAAAGGCGGCAGGACGTAGTTGACTCCACAAAAGTAGGCCCACATATCGTGATGCGCTGCACCGTCTGGTTTATCCGCTCGATTGACCGCCCCATGTCGTCCACTGTAAGAGTTAGCCGATTCAAGGTATCGGCTATGGATTGTAATGAGGCTTTGGCGGGGGCTGAGGCAAGACTTGGTCTTGCGCCCTCTCGGTCTCCGGACTACTTCTAAAAGGTGCCGTCGTGGATGACCCAAATCTTCGTCATCTTGGTGTCCGGTCCAGTAATGTGGATGTCGGAGGCCACGATGAGATCCATGACGAGGAAGGCGTAGGGCAAACTCTGCTCGGTGTCGATGGAGGCGCAATCTGCCATGTGGATCATGACGAACTTCGCCCAATTGATGTCGACGCCGTGGATGATCGCTTGAACCGCCTTCAGGTCCTCGTTGAAGAGCGAGGTGTGGCTGCTATCCTGGGGGCGGAGAATCTGGGTGAGGATGTAGAGAAGAAGGCGCTTCTCCGGCAGAGCTGAGTGGATCGTCGGAGCTCCACTATGGCGGATGAGGTTAGTGATCCCAAGCTCGTGAATGACGGCGGCCTCGTTGTTGACGATCCAATCCTCTCCTCCGTATGTCACTATGTCGTCTCCTCGGGTAGGCAGCCCCGAGATGCGAGCGAAGGTAGCCAAATCAATCTCTATGTTGTAGAGATTGATGCTACTGTAGATCGTGTCACCTTCGTGGCGGAGGTTGGAGTAGAACGCCCGGACAAGACCGTGATTGTAGCTCGAGCGACTCTTGGAGACGAACGCCCGGACGCTTGGAGCTGATTGTCGAGGTCGTGATACCCCATTTGTTGGGGGTACAACTCCGGGAGCACCCTAGGCGGAGAGATAGGGCGTTTAGTGAAGTACGTGAGGAACTGGTTGGTGTTGTCAAACTCCAAGAAGGATCCGTCAAGGTAGAGGAAACCTTGAGGCGCTGAGGTCGTGGCGTTGGTGTTGTCCTTCTTCTTTGAAGCCCTGGTTTTGGTCCTCGACTTTTCTCCAGCCATAGTTGAGGCGTTTTAGAAGAAGTGAAGAATAATGGAGAATAGACTCAAGGAATGCAATTGGGATGTAAATGGTAAGTAGAAAATGACCAAAAATGATGGATATTTATAGGGAAAGAGGATTATGGCCGTTAATATTCAAAAATATGACTGTTGGGCATTGAATGAGGTGCCCAACGGCTATATTTTTTGAACCACAGCAGGTTTCCCAGCGTTGTACCTGGCTAACCATCGCTGGGTGACCAGCGATGTGGGGGTTCTCACATCGATGGGAAAATGGCTACTGGAATGTGCAAGGGATGAGGGACTTGGCTTACCAGCGATGGGTCAAGCATCCCATAGCTGGGTAATGAGTTTCAGGAAATCCGTTAAAATTAATAAAAACAAGTGTGAATCACCCATCGATGTGAAGAAGTTCCCATCGATGGGAGAAGGGCTGCTGGATTAGAAGATACTTCCTTCCCAGCGATGGGATAAACCACCCATTGCTGGTTCCCCCTGAATTCTTCACTTCGAGACGTACCTGCAAAAAAGAGTTAGAAAACCCTCCGACGCTCAAGTTAGTAATCGTTCAACAAAGATAAAAGAATAATAAAATGCACAAATTAGATCATTGTTGAGTCAAGAATTCCTAGTTCGCTACGAATTCGGAAGAACGACTCTTTCTCCAAAGGCTTTGTAAAAATGTCGGCTAGTTGAGACTTTGTTTCAACGAACTCAATTTCGAAATCGCCTTTGAGAACGTGATCTCTGATGAAATGATGCCTAATGTCAATGTGTTTAGTTCTTGAATGAAGAATGGGGTTCTTCGTCAAGCTTATGGCGCTAGTATTATTACATCGAAGCGGGACATGATCGATACTAAGGCCATAGTCCACGAGTTGTTGCTTCATCCAAAGGATTTGAGCGCAACAACTTCCGGTAGAGACGTATTACGCTTCGGTGGTGGACAAAGCGACACTGACTTGCTTTTTGCTAAACCATGAGACTAACAAACTACCAATCAAATGGCACGTCCCACTCGTACCTTTGCAGTCCACTTTGCAACCGGCGAAGTCCGAGTCGGAGTAGCCGACAAGAATGTTTGATTTATGATTTAGAACCTGTTTATGCTTTTATTTATTGAAATTGATGTTGTTTAATGGGTTAAAATGAAGCTCGTGCAAAATCTGGTGTTCGCCGCGACAGACGGTAGGTAGGTACCGCTAACACGATACCTGGCTACCGCCAGCCCCTCCGTTTTCATCTCTCCCTGCCGGTACCTTTCACCAAATGGTACCTAGGTACCATGTGGACGGTAGGCCCTACCGCCGGGTCGGTAGAGGCTACCGTGACAGCCTACCGGTGGGGTACTCTAGCTGACACGGTCGGTACCCTCGTATCGTGGGGACGGTACCCTGGTACCGTGGGGTCGGTAGCCCCTACCGCCAAGGGTACCGTGAGGTACCTGAACCGGTTTGAATTTGTCGTTTGCATCGAGGATCGATTTTGAGACTGTGTGTTGCATGTCGGTAAACATGGGTGTCAATACCCAGCATTAGGCCGCTGTTTGAGTATATTCAATGTGATAAATGATGATGCTTGATTTGCTGTTTTCTTCCGAATTCGTAGGGAGCTAGGAATTCTTGACTCAACAATGATATAATTTGTGCATTTTATTATTCTTTTATCTTTGTTGAACGATTACTAACTAGAGCGTCGAAGGGTTTTCTAACTCTTTTTTGCAGGTACGTCTCGAAGTGAGGAATTCAGGGCTGAACCATATTAAAAGATTGAATCCAATCAATTAGTTAGTTCACTAAAGAGCTTATATACCGATTATTTTTGCTCTTGAACTTCTGATGTGGGATGACTGATAGGCGTGTCGTACCACCTACAAATTAATTTATTATTTTCCTTAACTTTTAACCCCCTTTATGAATTAATATTCAATAAAACATATAGATAGGGCAAGTAAGGGTCGATCCCACGAGGAAAGATACTTTTTAAGTTATGAAAATTAGTTCACTTGTCACTTTTATTGAATAAAAACTAACTAAAATCTAAAAGCTAAAACTAAAGGATATGGGGGGGTTTGAATGATAATTCTAAAAATATAAAAATGCAAATAAAATAAAGATAAAGGATAACAGATAAGAGATGGAACCACAACAGCAAGCTCGAACTCAGAAGTAACACTCTGGGAGAAAACAAACACACATACACAATCTCACAATAAACTTTATAAAACGTAGACAATAATAATTAACTTAAACTATTTTGAAAATACTTATTGTTTTTAATAGAAAATAAATTGAACAAATCTGATTAACCAATTAATTATGCCTTGATTCTGAAATTAAACAGCTAATTAAACTCAGGGTTAGTTTGAAGAAGAGGTCCACCAACGGTTCTTCCCTATTCTCCCATTCATATTAGCTCATGTTAAGACCAACCCTAACTCTAAACCCTACTACCCTTAGCAACCCAAAGACCAACCCTTAAGTTACTACTAAGAATAGCGATTTAAGATTTGTGAAAAACATCACCATAACAACTTTGCAGTAACACTCAAATTAAATCAACAAACAAAGATTCAATTTTTTTCTCAAACAATTTTGCCTAAAAAGGTTTTATAATTTCAGAGACAATAATAAATCATAAAATCATATTTGGACAATTCAACATCAACACACAAACATTCATCACTTAAAATATAACTTAAACATTCAACATAGAATTAGAATTGAAAATAATCATATTTAAATAATGGATATCAAATTCATCAAATTCAAAATCCTAGTTAAAAGTTTGAAGTAAAATTAAAAGTCAAAGAACTCCCCTGTGCTCCTTCTTTGTTCGTTCACTGCCAAAGAAGAGACCAAAGACTACCCAACTAGTTGCACCATCCATGGCCGCCATCGCCGGACCTAGGGTCGGCCTCTCTGCTCCGGTGTCTTTCTGCTCTCTGTTTTTTTTGTCTCCGTATCCGCCCCCTTTTTTTCCTGATTGAAGTCCCCAATTTATAGAACTAGTATTTTGACCCGTGCGATGCACGGGGTCGAACGAAACTGTTGTCGATTTTGAAATTTTTCAATGAAATATTTATTCCAAAATCAAGTAAATATATTTCTGTCATAAATTTTAATCAATGGAAAACAATGACAAAGTAGAATATAATATTTGAGAAATTGAAAGTGTACTCGAAAAAATCTTTTTTAATTCCAAATTTTTGAAAGACTTTAGTGTACACAACATTTTTTGTATCGTTGTAAGCGTTTTTATTTTCATCTAAACCTAATATTTTTAATCATGTCTTTTTCTTTACTCGTGAAACAGTAACATAAAGCTAACCATGAGTAAATCCCGAATTGGTTAAAAATAATATAGCAAAGGACAATGTTTGACATTGACTTTTGTTTATAGTCATAGCAAAACATAAGACTATTATATTGAGAATTCTATCAGATGATACAAAATTTTATTCAGGGTATGTAAACCTTTTTCTCCAACGCGATTTCTCGAAACATCAATTACATTGATAATGTTCTTTCACATCTCTTTAATGATTAATCTTTTACCAATACACAATCCATATATTTGGTCAATGTTCTTCAATAACATAATCGGTACCCCCTTTTAAAAACTATTTTATGGTTTGAATCCCCTAACATTTGATTTCATTAAGAAGAATTGAACTGTTATCTAATCGTCTTCAACAACTACATCTAAATATGTTTGGCATGAAGAATGAGAAC